ACACGACAGATATCGAAAGCTGAGGCTCTAGGGTTGGGCAGAAATAGGGCTAATTCCGCTGAGGCGTCAAAGACATCGCACCTTCATTTGGAATACCCTTTCAGAGCTAAAGGCGCTAATGAAATCTAGACTCATGAAAATTCCTCACCCTGCAGGAGGAATGCGCCCAGAACACGTCAACGATGGGATGGTCATGTGGCTATGTAGAGCCCGGTACAAGACTTCACATGTATTCAGGTACCTACATGTACCAGTTCAAAATGGTCATAACACAGGGAGATTGGTGGCTGATGCTATGGGCATTTTAGCTTTGAAGACCCCCTCCACCCTTTCTTTGCCCTACCCGAGTGCCTCTCCGTTCATTTCAGATACAAATTCTCTATCTTTCACGATTCCTTCCCTCAGATCTCCCCAGCACAACAGCGCCTTGGGTCTTTAATTGTAACAATCATGGCAAGGCGGACTTCTGACGGCCAAATTTTAATCGCCGTCATCGGCGTCACGGGGGCAGGAAAGACGACGTTCATCTCCAAGGCCAGCGGCAGAAATGATCTCGAGATCGGACACGACATCGACTCGTGTAAGTGGTTAGAAAATGACTACGAAAGACAGGAAAACGCAGGGAAGAATGCTGACTCTCGTGGGATCTTGTTAGGTACCCGCGACGTGATACCCGTTACCTTCAACTTGGATAAGCAGAAGGTGACACTGATCGACACCCCAGGATTCGACGATTCCGACAAGTCAGATTCCGATATCCTCGGGCTCGTCGCCAGCTATATGGCCAAGACCTATGAGAACGGCATCCTGCTCACGGGAGTTATTTTTCTCCAGCCCATCAGTCAGCCGCGGCTGCAGGGCAGCGAGATGAAGCGGACCAGGGTTTACAAGAAGCTGTTGGGCGAGGATGCCTACGAGAGAGTTGTCATCGCAACGACTATGTGGAGCCACGTCGCAGAGAAGGAGGCCACATCGCGCCAGAACCAACGCAAGAACCGCCCTGACGTGTGGGGGGACATGGTGGCCAAGGGGGCCAAGGTCGTTCGTCACGACAACAACCGGCCCTCGGCGTTGGAAATCGTCCGGATGCTGTCTAAGTTCACGTCGCCTGTCGAATTGCAGGTCCAGAAAGAGCTGATCGAAACCCACGGCAGGATTGGACTTACTTCCGCCGGAAAGCAACTGGACGCGGACCTGAGCGAGACGATCATGAAGCTGAAGGAGGAGATCAATGACCTCCGGCAGGAGCGCACAGAGACTGCCAGTGAGATAAAGGCGCTGAATAACAAGATAATCAAGTACGAGAAAGAGCAGGTCCAATTGGAGAACTCGACTGTAAGTAGGCCCTTCACTGTCACTCCCCAACCCCAGACGCAGCATTCACCGCTGAGATGACTTGGGAATCGAAAAGGTGCAACTCTTCGTCTATGCCCTCGCCCAGGCTATTCCTGGCGTTGCTGTGGCTCTAGCGCAGAACGATGATTGCGTCATTCTCTGACCTTTTGTGGCTGATGGCGACTGGTGCTAGGCATGCGGTGATTGCACGATTATGTAGAGGCAACACGGACAGGTTCTACCCGTTGGTCGGCCCTGTGAGGCCTAACATATGTGCGCTGGAACGAGGTAGCTGCCTAGATCTCGGACGGCATTAGTGTTTGTCTAACGGAATGTATGGCTGAAGTTATAAGCCGAGATGTGATAGGCACCAACTAACCTATACAAAAGATGGTGTGCTAGCCAATTGCAGCTTCTTAAAGGGAAAGCGGGCAGGCCGAGACCTCGTATAGACGGCACCTTCCAGCGGCGACGGTGTGGCTTGTCGGTCTGGAGCTGCAACCTGGAATACACAGCCCCCTGTGATGTCTCAGTACTCATCTGTCTGTGCATGTACATGCGAACACATACCTAGATAGAGGTGGCCTGATGCACCGTGCACGCTGCCGGCCCGATGGGCCATCCTCATTCAATAATCTTTCGAATTCTCATCTGTGTCCTTGTTACAATCATTAAACCCATCTGTTAGTCTTCAATATATCGTCGAGAAAGAATATTATTTTTATCGGCATGACCCAAAATGGCAAGAGTTCATTGGTTCAACAAATCCTACAGTATGCTGGTGAGGATGAGATGGCTTGCCGAGTGGGAATCGGTCAGGGCAACTTCTCCGAGACCCAGACCTACTCCTAATACAACGTCGACATCCCTTTGAGAACCCATCGACTACGGCAAATTGACGGCCCGGAAGACGCGTCATGGCAAAATAGCGCCTATGTCGTCCCTGGCGAAGACTTCAAATTCAACGACGCCGATGAGTTTAGGCTGGGCCACGACGTTGAGGATTCTAAAGAGTGCCTATAGTTGCGGCTCATCGACACGCCCGGCTTGAGTGACTTAGGAAACACCACTGACGAGCGCCATAAGCTCAGAATCCTTCTTATCCTGCAAGAGGTTGAGGACGTGCACGCGATATGCTTCGTCGTCCGGCGCGATACCAATTATGGTGGCGATTTCCAAGAGCTAGTAAAGAGAATGGTCTCATTACTAAGCTTCTCGGTCCGATTAATAGTATAGAATTTGCAATACTACATCATCCATACCCATATTAATATAGATGATCGAGCCTCCGATATATGTCAAGTCTGGTAATACAAGTTTGATTAGTTTGGTCCTGCTAGCGCTACTTACCATTTTGTTGATAATACTCTACTTATGGATTTTCCGCTAGATCTTTACTTTGCTAATAATACTCTCTCCGGTTTATTTAAATCTCTAGTGACGGTATCTCCTATTAAGTTCTCGAATCTTTACTATGCTAAGTCTCCCGAGTATAAGTGCAATGACTAAGCCTTAGTAAAAGTACTATAGTATATAAAAGCTGAGCTTATTTCTAGGGTTAAGGAGTATTGCAAGAAGATAGCAGGATTAGAAATAGATATTATACAATATAATTTCAACATAGGCCTTAGTAAGAAATAAGTGGATGACTACGAAATGAAGATCGAAGAGATTAACTGCGATAACCTTAGCGAGATTGAAGGTGCGTGTGAGGAGGGCTGGACGGAGATGAATGTAGGCAGTGGCGGCGGGCGAATATTCTCTTTTAATACCATGGTACCTATTATATGCATTGACAAGTCCTACGATAGAGATAGAGACTGGGAGGGCGAGAACCAGGAAGCAACTTATTACTTTGTTACACTATAACCTCACTAGTTTTATAAGTCTTACGGCAAGGTTACGCTCCTGGCTAAAAAGAGCAACAAATATAAGAGTAAGATTACATTACTAAAGTTGTAGATGGCACCGCGGAAGAGGAGGTGGTAGGAAAATGTAGATAAGGCTGCAAAGGCGAATCTAGATATTTTGGAATTAAAAAGCCAAATTACCACTAACGAGGCAAACATTTAAGCCCTATCTTATAATTTGACAGCTATATAAAAATCGGGATATTCTATTTTGCTAGTTGAAAATCAGAAACTGGTTAAGTTCTTTACTATTAATAGTCCTCTTGCTGCAATCTTTGGCTATCAACTTACAGCCAAGGTCCCCTGGACGGTATTACCCCTAGGCAAGCTTGAGAGAGATATGTTTAAGTTACGGCTGGGAAAAGAAGCTATAGAAATGCTGGTAAATATCTATGTGTATAATATTGTCTACAAATCCCTAGCAGTCCAGCTAGGTATCGCCCAGGGAATTAAACTTATTATAGCTTAATTGATAAATCCGCCTATTAGAGCAGCGAAGCTACAATCAGCTATTTTCATGCTCAACTTTTAGCAGGATGCATATATCAAAGTTGAATTCAAGCCTAAAATAGTCCAATTAGTTGGCCTGCGTAAACTAATTAATAAATTTAAAGATCTTGAATTAAATGCAGATCCGTAGCCTATATTAACAAGTTGGCCAGAGAGCGGGGAGGTTAATGAGTAAATTCTAGCGTTTTGTAGAATAGCAAATACCTTTAAATAAGAGATACTTTATAGCAGCAATATGGCGTATAAGGAGCTATAGTAAGTAATTTGGGAGTAAAAGGCGGCTAAGCTAGTGATGGACTTTTTGAATCGGGACGACAGGCTTCTAGTTAGTACTTTTAGATCTCTAATTAGGGCGGAGGCAAGTAGTACTATAGAACTATATCTTATAATACTCGCTAAGCTTAAGGATATTAGAGAGCTGGGGGAGATGGTACTTAATGAATAATTTATATATTATAATACTTATTAATATAGCTTATATTTAAAAGAGCATATTAGGAAATAAATATTGTGTTATTTATATACTGAGACTAGCAGCTCCTAAAAAAAACTTATAATAACTTGGTAGAACTGTTTACTATATAGCTCCTCGATTACTTCTAGCTAAATATGCTACTGTAACTTTAAAGGCAGACTTGAGTTTGGGATTCTACTCTGCAACGAAATCCAGTATCTTGCTATATCTAACCTTCTCTAATAACTTACTATATTGCGCTATAGCTAACTGGGTGAATCCCTAGCTTAGTAGGACTTCTTCCTCTTAGAGCAATCTAATAAACTTCTTAGCTTGGGCGAGTTACTTAGTAAGCTATACCAGCTGCGGATTTTCCTTAGCTATATTACCTAACTGCAATAAAAGCTTGGTTTTCCTATTGATGATATCCCGGGTCTTCTTAATATTGTCTAGTAGCTTATCTATCTTTTTTATCATCTTATTAATCTTACTAGCATAATATACTAAGTTTTTTATATAAGAATGAGCTAAGAATTTAGGAACCTTTTGCTATTTAGATTTATATCTTTCTTTTTAGGTAGTATTTACTTCTGAAGTATTGTACTTGGATAACTAGGTTATGTTATTACTATTGGAAGTATAGACTTAAAATAGAAAGATATTCTTTTTAATCTTAAAGGTATTCTTATAGCTGGAAAATATAATAAACTTCCATACCTTAGATGATATACTTATAATTGCAGTTAGTAAGTATATATTCAAGTCAAACTAAATATCCAAGTCCCAGATAGCTAATTTTACCTTAAGTTCTTTAATCTGGTTTTTCTATGTTAGGTAGTTCTTCTTATATCTAATAAGACTTTAAGTTATTATTAATATAAATTAGAAAATATGATTTTTTTCTCTCCCCTAAAAACTTTATATATTATATAGATACCTAGCTACTTAAGTATTAATAGCAGTTATCTAAGAAAGCTTTACTAGGCAGATATTTTTAATTAGCAGCTTTCCCTAGCTCCTTAAGTAGAGAAGAATATTATATAGAGTATTTATAGATATAAATTCCTAGAAAAAGCTTCTAGAAGCTAGTTTTAAGTTAATAAAAAAGTATATAGAGTTGGAATAGAAGATTTCAGCTTAAGCTTTATAATGCTATTTTATCTTTATATTATACAAAGAAAGTTTTATGCCCCTAAAGGTAATGGTATTTAATATATTTTTTATATATTTAGATTTCTAATTCTTAAGCTTAAAGTTAATATTAATAATAGCAATACTACTAAAAAGATTAGATATATAATACTAATAGTAGTAATATTACTTCTATATACTAATATTAAAGCTAATACCTAACTTAATAATAAATATAACAATACTAATATAATACTAATTAAGCTCAATCAACTTAGCATAGATATTTAATTTTTAAAGAACCTTTTTAATATTCTTTATATTTATTTTAGGCTTATTATTATTAAGGCTAGAAGTATTAAGTAGGCAGATACAGGCTATGTTTACATAGGGATCTCGTTCTTATACTTATAGATCTTTTTATTTCTAAAGGCTTAAGTTGAAAATACTCCCCTTATCATCAGCTAACTCAACTAGAATATCTCTTAGGCCTTCTATAAGAATATAATCCGTTATGGATATATCAAATTTATATAGGAATGGATCTCTAGTACAAGAGAATATGCCTTTGCCAACCCCGGCTAGATCTGGAAGAAGATATAGCCCTACGGCAAGAGACCTGAATCTATTGGTAAGGGTGCTTTTGCCACTCTGGGATGTGCCTATAAGGATCACATTGGCCGACTACTTCCATCGGCGCGTATGAGTATACTTAGCATCGACCGCAGCAGGTGCTTCTGTTTGGTACTCGTTCGCCATGTTATCGAAAAGCTCCCAGCTGAGGGCCCTTGATTGCAAAAGATGCTGAGGAGGGGAGTCGCCAGTGACCTTGGAGAGCGATGTCCTCTTTCGTTGCTGGGCGCAATCCCTAGCTTCAATGGGAGCCCACTCGAGTGCATGTACAGTGACAAGTCGTGACTTCGCCTCGCCAACCTTGACCTCTCCGGCAGTGCCACTGTAGGTGCACTTTCAGCCAAGGCAGAAATTCAAAGGCTTGAAAACAGGGCGGCCTGAACCAGGTGATGAGCGCCACGTATGTGATATGTCAAACTAGTATGCACAGAGTGCGACTCAGTGGCTTGCTGAACCTGCCTAGCAACCAACCATGGGAAGG